TATAATTTATTAAGGGCAACACAAACATAAACGCAGTGCAACAAACCAAACCCAAAGCTAACACAAATATGTACAACAAGGTCCAACAAACCCAAACCTTAACTGATATATATATATATATATATATATATATATATATATATATATATACAGTGGAGATCGAAAGTTTGGGTATTCCAGCTAAAAATTTGTATTAATGTGCATAAAGAAGCCAAGGAAAGATGGAATAATCTCCAAAAGGCATCAAATTACAGATTAGACATTCTTATAATATGTCAACAAAAGTTAGATTTTATTTCCATCATTTACACTTTCAAAATAACAGAAAACAAAAAAATGGCGTCTGCAAAAGTTTGGGCACCCTGCAGAATTTATAGCATGCACTGCCCCCTTTGCCAAGCTGAGACCTGCCAGTGTCATGGATTGTTCTCAATCATCGTCTGGGAAGACCAGATTATGTCAATCTCAAAGGTTTTAAATGCCCAGACTCATCTGACCTTGCCCCAACAATCAGCACCATGGGTTCTTCTAAGCAGTTGTCTAGAAAACTGAAACTGAAAACAGTTGACGCTCACAAAGCTGGAGAAGGCTATAAGAAGATAGCAAAGCGTTTTCAGATGTCAATATCCTCTGTTCGGGAATGTAATTAAGAAATGGCAGTCATCAGGAACAGTGGAAGTTAAAGCAAGATCTGGAAGACCAAGAAAAATATCAGACAGAACAGCTTGCAGGATTGTGAGAAAAACAATTCAAAACCCACGTTTGACTGCACGATCCCTCCAGAAAGATCTGGCAGACACTGGAGTTGTGGTACACTATTCCACTATAAAGAGATACTTGTACAAATATGGTCTTCATGGAAGAGTCAACAGAAGAAAACCTCTTCTACGTCCTCACCACAAAAATCATCGTTTGAACTTTGCAAATGAACATATAGACAAGCCTGATGCATTTTGCAAACAAGTTCTGTGGACCGATGAACTTTCGATCCCCACTGAATATAAACATGGAGCACAACGTAGTCAGGTGGGCCGGGTCGGTAGCTAACGGGCAGACAAGGTACAACAAGGATTAGGCAGAAGATTGGTCAGGAGTAGCCGAGGTCGGTGCAGGCAGAGTTCAAGCAGAGTCAGGATCAGGCAGGAAGCAGACAGGATGCAGGTACAGGGCTCATGGGAACAATACACCAAGGCCCTGACTGCAGGCCTGGCCATTCCTTAAATACACCTCCTGCAATCAGCCTCAGGTGATGGCTTGATTGCAGGAGTGAGCTTCTGGCTGCTGAGAGCACCCGCTGGCCAGCCCTGGTACTGCAGCCCACAAGGCAGGTGAGTCCCACCACCATTGGCGAGTCCATTCCTGACAACAATCCTAGGGACAGTCAAGTGTAAACGGACTTATGTCTTTTTTACACCCGCCAACCTCCAGGTTCGAACTTGTCCTCTAAATGAAAAACAGAAGAGGATTTGTCTTCTTCCGTCTTCTTCTGTTTAGGCAGATGGGATTGGAAGGTAGCCCAACTACCTTCCAATCCCATCTGCCTAAACGGAAGAAGACGGAAATGAACAGTGGAGTCTGTTTACTTCCAGATGCCCATAAGGAAGAGCGGGCACGAATATAGATAGGATGTAGATACGGATGTGTCATCTGTCCGCTCTGCTCCGTTCAGTGCAGGATCTGTGAGCTGATCCCCTGCTGATCAGAACAGAATCCACCCCTTGAGAAAGGATCCTTAAACTGACCATAGACCAATCGAAATTAGGCCAGTTCAGCAGGAACTGGCTGAATTTCGATCTGTGTGTGGCTATCCTGTCCGACAGAAGAACCAAACTGGAAAATGTTTATTTTCTAATAATAATAATAATTTTCTGACAGTAGTCCCATTGTCAGAATACAATGTCCTGGCAAGGAGTGGGGGTTTCTCCATCTTCCTCACTTATATGGATGGAGGAATCTGTTGTTTTGTTTTCATTCAGCCCACTGGCTGAACAAAAAAAAAACTACTTGTCTATGGATAGATAGTATCCCCACTGAAAGCTTTCCTCTCTGTTCTTGTTTGGTAACAAGTCAAAAATTGAGATTTTTGCTTACTTTCAGTTTATTTTTCCATAGCCTATCTAAAACTAAAAAATAAAGATTTGGCTTAGATACACTTTAGAATGAATGCATCTTCCTTATGCTTACTTTTATATGGTCATTTATGACCCCCTCTTTTCTCACAATGCAAATATATCAGTGAGGTCTGACTGATTGAAAACAAGACATGCAGTTAATATGTGTTCTCTCAGCAGTCCTTCACTGTGCATAGTTAAATGTGAGAGTCGCACCAAAAATGTTAGATCCAATTTACAATAATAATTGTAAATGTGTATTTAGTATTTACTGAATATATGCATTATTTGATAGCCTTACTAGATGAATTATGACCTAATTTCCATCTTGCTGAGAACTATGTGTTTCAACTTGGATGGGGAAAATGAAAAATGCAGTCTTGTGCCACTTTCATACTGTGCTTCACCTAAAAACTGTATACAGAGCCAGCTCTGAATGCAATGTGTCTGCAGTGTCTATTACAATGTATTTTTCAGTTTTGGCACCCATGTCTGATTATCACTCAGCATAACTCCTGAATAAGCATACTGTTTGCCAGGTTTCATAAATGCCACTTACGGGGCTATGCTAAATTGCATATGATGTGCAGTGGTCTGCATTATCGCTGTGTGGGCTAGTGATAATGGACTAGGCATTTTTGATTTGTTTTCTACAAATTGCTATTCCACCTCTATCCATTGCTAAATTACAGGACAGCTATCTCAACTAATTTGTGAAAAGTCAGCTGCTGATAGCTAGTGTGTTTTATATGGGTTATAAGAGCAACCTGCATATGTGGGGAAGCTGTAAATTTCTCCGGCAGTGGGTGCAGGGGGGGAGTGCTGCCAAAGTCAAATCAGGATTGCAAGTCTAAAATTTAAAGCGGAGCTCCACCCAAAAGGGGAAGTTCCGCTTTAAGGACTGCTCCCCCGCTCCCCATTAAGGATTGGCACCTTTGGGGGGCGGGGAGTGGGTACCCGAATTTGACAGGTAACGGCTCCCAATTGCGGTCGGACCGCCTAGGCGACCGGAAACGGAAGGTGTCCTCCCTCCTTAGTCTTCTAGGACACATGACAGGTCCCAGAAGACTACAGGACCATTCATGAAGTGCAGCGCTACTTGTGCATGTGCAGTGGGTACCTGGCTGTGAAGCCGCAAGCAGTCACAGCGGGTGCCCCTACTGAAGATGCCAGCCTCCAGGAATCCAGGACGGCAGATGAAACGGGCTGCAGGGGACACACCACGGGACCGAGGGACAGGTAAGTGGCTGTTTTTTAAAAGTCAGCAGCTACAGTTTTTGTAGATGCTGACTTTTATTTTTTGACAGGATGAGCGGAACTCCGCTTTAACAGCATTTAATGGCAAATCATTTTATAAAAATCAACAATTTTTCATCTCTGTACAGCATATCAGAAGACAGATCAGGGTTGTCAGCTGTGATATTTACCACATTTTAAAGTGGTTGTAAACTCTTACATATACCCACTGAAGTAACTGGCCTCAAGTGATCCACAGAGATTAAACAAATTCTACTACAATGTTGTACTTGTTTATTTACAGTCTTCTCTTTTACAGCCATTCAAAGTTCATAATTTATAAATCTTGTCTGAGCTATCAGAAAAAAGGGAGCAGAGAGCTGAAAATACACACTGCAAAGCTCAGTGAGGAGAGTTCTGAGAGCTGATTGGAGAGAAGGGACCCCCCCCCCCCTTCACACAGCTCACAGGAACAGAGCTGAGGCTGTCAATCTGCTGGAGGTCCCTCCACTGTCACCTTTTTTTTCTTGGTGTCAGGAAAACTTGTAAGAAGTAACTCATGCAGATAACAGAGGAACAGGGCAGCAGACAGAAATGACACTTAGTGCTCTGGAGACGAGTATACACTATAGAGCACAGGTGTCAAACTGAGGCCCTCCAGCTGTTGAGGAACTATAAGTCCCATCATGCCTCTGCCTTTGGGTGTCATGCTTGTAAATGTCAGCCTTGCAATGCCTCATGGGATTTGTAGTTCCGCAACAGCTGGAGGGCCACAGTTTGACACCCCTACTATAGAGGGATATGCTTAGTTGATATTTCTTGTCTACAACCACTTTACATTCAATAAAGAATGGTAAATCCAGATGTGCTGCAAATATGCAATACACTTTTATCAAAGGAGGACTTCTATAGAAATGTGTATTCTATGGGTTGTATTTATTATATGTGGATTATCAGTTCCCTTTAAAGTACAGACCTTAAAAAAAAACATCATTTAAAGCATATGTTTACCTTTGGAAACATGTTACATGTTCCACCTGTTTTAGGGTGGAATATGTAACGTCTTCCCAAATGATGAAGCCACTACCCCCATTCAAACCCCCCCCCCCCCACCCCTCCTCCCCATGACAGAAGTACAGGGAGCTGTCACTTTTTAAACAGCGGCTCTATTCTCTTCCTGTCAGTATATCTGCTTGCCTGTACATCCAAGGAAAAAGTTTACCCTCATATGTTAGTATACTGCCATGGATTAGTGCCAGGAAAGGAAAATTATGGTAAGTATTTGATACAATTTTCCATTATATAGCCCCTTAAAGGTAAGGTAAATTGATTGAACTTTCTGACAATATTGTTTTCCCAAAACCGGTGGCAGTGGACTGATTCTTTTCCCTCGTTGCCTGGATATATTTCCATATTGCGTTTCAAATCAATATCTGATCCAGTCAGAATGGAAATGAGTGGGCTGTGATATAAAATAATATTTACTATTTACCTCCGGGGCATGTGTGAGAGGTCACCATCCTACTAAGAGGCGGAGAGATTATGGGGGGGGGGACTATTTTTTGCTCATTTTAAAAATCAGGAATACAAAAGATATATTTAGGAATACATTAGTAATTAATTAGTAATTAATAACAGTCTGGTTTTGATCCTCAGGCTCATGGAAGACAAGAAGAAACACTGGGTTGAAGAGTTATTCACTCCACGTTTCACTGCACAAGATTTGTTGTATGAGACGTTTGAACCAGATCTTCTGCTATCAGAAAAGTTGGCCAAGGAGAGAGCCCAGACAGTTGAAGGGATCTACCATGCTGCACTTGGTAAACTTCAAGAAGATGAAAAAAGGAAAAGAAAAGATCATTTATCTAAACTGATCATTCATGACGATGAGACTTCTGGCCAGAAAACACCTGTAACGACCCAAACTACCATCTGTGCATCCTGTCAAAAATTGAACCGCAGTTCTGCTACCACTGTGGGTGATGACAAGAAAAAATGTATCTGGAGTGAACATGAATTAAACCTTTTAAGACATGAAATGAGTAAAAAACATAGTGAAGAAACTCGGCTAAAACTTCAGCTTGACACTTGCATGCTTCAACTGTCTGATTTAAAAGCCAAACAAAAGAAAACTGAACAGGAGTTAGAGGCTGTCAGAGCTGAGCTGGCTGCATCTAAACGGTACGCTGAATGTAAAAGCGTTTTGCTAAAGCAGTTGCAGAAAGATGGCTTGAAAAAAGATGCAGAAGTTCAGTTTTTGAAAAAGGATTTGCAAGATAAAGCTGGAATGCTGCAGAACTGTACCAACAGTTTACAGAAAGCTAGAAAGGAGACGCAGGACCTGCAGCTGCAAAATAATGACTTGGAGGATGAGTTAAAGAGTTTAAGACAGCAGCAGGGACTGGAAAAAATATTTGCTGTGGAGAACATGAAATTGCAGTTTAGTAGAAAAGTAAATAAGTTACGTGAAGAAATAGAATCCATTAAAGCAGAAAGAGAAAAACAAAGACCTCAGGTTTCTATGGAAGGTTTTGCTTTAAAGTGAACCTGTCCGGACATTGCAAACTCAATCTTCAGCCTGTACTAGGCCCCTTCTGGCACCTCTGCTGCTTACCTTTAGCACTATATCCCCATTGTCACCCCCTTCTAATACGTATCTAGTATTGTCAACAGTTGCAAACAAAGGCTTAGTTTACACTTGTGGCTGAAGGGTAGTAAAAACATGCAGCTGAGCCACATTTTTTTACCTCCCCAACTGCACCCCCCAAGGTACAAAGTCAGCTGTACGATGGTAAACACATGCCGCAGAAAAAATTATCCCTGCTGTCACATTCCAACACACCACATTCAAGTGATTGGGGATGTGCCACAACTGCATGCAGTGAAAGCAGTTGCGGCACAGTGGTGTGTGCATTTAGGGGTTAAAACATAATGCCTCCCCGTCACCTGTCAAGCACCCTCTAAAAAGCAATCCACATCAGAACACTTTTTAGAGGGCCAATGCATGTATAAACAGGAGAAAAAAAAGACATGACCACTGCCATCATGTGACAATGCTGGAGTCTGGTGATTGGCTACTCAGGGCCGAAGTCCTACATTGTGGGGAAGCATGGTGACATATCATATGCTTTCTACCTGGAAGTACTAGGGCTTCTTCAGAGTGGCAGTGAAGGTAATTCATAGGCATTGGTACCCTGTACAGGTGGAAAGAATGAGTTTGTTTGTTTTTTTACTATACCCAGAAGTTTACTATAGACAATATGTAGCTTATGTAGCAATAAGCGCTGTTGTTCCACTTTACCACATAACATGTACCCTCTGCAGTCTTTTCTGCATAGAGTTGCTGCTGGTGGTTTTTAATAGAACATTAATTCTGGAATGTAAACTAGCATATTGACAATTTTTTAATGATTTTATTGAGAAAATTGCAAATAAGTTTACAACATATTGTATGAATACATTGAGGCATAAGAAAATGATCTTGAACAAGGCCCAGTAAGTACAGTATATTAATGTTAAATAAAATACATTTTGTACAATGTTCCTGCATGTTTTTGATAGTTTATCAGGATATGTGGATATGTTTCCTCACGCTTTTAAACTCCAGGCAACGGCTAAATACAGAAATGAAATGAAAACAAGTAAACTGTCTTGTTGCAAAAGTATTTTTTTTTTCTGTCCATTCAGCTCTAAGATTTACATATCCGTGGTAGACAGCAAACAAGCTGTATGACATCATTTTTTCTGTATAAAGAATACAGTGGTATCCTCAATACACCCTCATAGCCTGCTGTTTGATCAATGAAGGAGTAGCGACAGGCTGGTGAGGTCATCTTTCTGCTTTCTTCTCCTATCAGTATATGCGCTGTAAGCACATTTGCAAGCAAAATACCTTATTGGCTCCCTGTCAAACCCCTCCCTCTTTGAGTGCTGCTGTATAGTGAGATACAAAACCTGATAGCAAATCAAATTCATGTAGGTACTCTAGGCACATTAAAAAATAAATTAAAGTGGTTCTAAAGGTATAAGGTTTTGCACTTTAATGCATTCAATGCATTAAGGTAAAAAAACTTTCCAGGTTTTCCAAAAAAGTGCATTTACTATTTTTAGTTTTAGGAGGCTGGAAAGCATTGCTCCAGCAATCAGCAGATCATGGGTGGCATGCAGGTCTCCTGCAGACTGTCAGTGTAGGCTGTCTATCCAAACATCATATGGGCAGGCAGTTTCACACTGATAAGAAGGATCAATGAACTACCAGAGTGCTTAACAGCTGCAAAGACTGTCGGTACTTGTAGTTCATTGATTCCCAGGTATCAGTAAATCAATGGCGTGGCTGTGTGGGCGAAGCCACACTCTCTTTGAATTGTGGCAGTGAGTACTGGGAGAAGATCTCTGGCTCACTGCCACAAGCAGGAGGGGATTGGGGGGAGAGTGGTTCTGATGCTGAACATGTTACATGTTGCTCCCTAAATATGGGTTTAACACGTAAAGTCCAGAGAGGTGAACTTATCGTTTACCCACTTTACCCATGCGCGCATATACTGTGTGGCCCTTAAGTATTTTCTACATTTCAGCCATGGGCCTATAATTATGATACCAAAGTGATGTTAGATTTTTGTTCAGAGGGAGGGTACCAGGTATTTTGGTGGCATTGTCTTCCATTTTGTTCTATATATTTGTATGGCAAATTAAAAAAAAAAACTAAGTTTTTTTAATTTAACCCCTAGATATACTGTACAGTAGCTGTAAAGCAAATGGAGTTACTCTAATAAAATGTATTCTCTTTACTCTAACTACAGTTGCAATAAAAAGTATGTGAACCCCTTGGTTATTACGTGGAGTTTTTCTCTCGCATGAATTGGGCATAAAATGTGCTCTGAACGTCATCTAAGTCACAACAATAGAAGAACACAGTCTGCTGAACATAATACTACACAAACATTAGATGTTGCCATGGTTTAATTGCACATAACATGTAAACATTCACAGTGCAGGGAGGAAAAAGTATGTGAACCTTTGGACTTAATAACTGGTTGACCCCATCCTTTGGCAGCAATAACCTCAACCAAACGTTTCCTGTAGTTTGCAGATCAGACCTGCACAACGATCCGGAGTAATTTTGGACCACTCCTCTTCACAAAAACTGTTTCAGTGTAGCAATATTCTTGGGGTGTCTGGTGTGAATCGCTCTCTTAAGGTCATGCCACAGCATTTCAATCGGGTTGAGGTCAGGACTCTGACTGGGCCACTCTCCAGAAGGCGTATTCTGTGCTGTTGCAGCCATTGTTTTGTTGAATTACTTGTATGCTTTGGGTCACTGTCCTGTTGAGCTTGAATGAACCCATCCTCTGCGGAGCTTCAGTTGGCAGACAATATGGTCGTACACTGAATTTTCCTGCAAAATGTCTTGATAAACTTTGGAATTCTTTTTTCCATCAAATGACAACAATCCATCCAGGCCCTGAGGCAGCAAAGCAGTTTTCCCCAAACCACAGGGGATGCTTTTCGCGTACCTCGCGCCATGTTCTACAGTGGGGATGAGGTTTTGATGTTGGTGTGCAAATGTTACTCTAATAAAATGCCTTTTTTTTGCTCCCACACATTAGTGTTTTTGCATGTGTGTTCTTCCCAAAAACAACTCAATCTTTAGATGTTTTTAATTGCATGTAAACTGTCCACAGTTTCCTGTATATTTTGCCAGTAGTGCTGTGGAACATCCAGGTGCTCTTTTTCAAACTTCAAACGTGCTGCAATATTCTTTTTGGACAGCAATGGCTTCCTCCGTGGTGGAATCCTCCCATGTACTCCATTCTTGTTTAATGTTTTCCTTATTGTAGATGTGTCAACAAAAATGTTAGCATGTGCCAGAGATTTCTGTAGGTCTGTAGCTGACAATGGCTCCTGGGATTCTTCTTGTTTAATGTTTTCCTTATCATGCATGCATTCTGCAGCATGCGTTGTGCTCTTGCAGTCATTTTTACAGGACGACCATGCCTAGGGAGAGTAGCAACAGTGCTAAACTTTCTCCATTTGTAGACAGTCTGTCTTACTGTGGACACATGAACATCAAGGCTTTTGGAGATACTTTTGTACCCTTTCCAGCTTCATGCAAGTCAACAATTCTTGATCGTAGGTCTTCTGAGAGCTCTTTTCTGCGAGGCATGGTTCACATCAGACAGTGCTTCTTGAAACCAGTAAACCCAAAACAGGTGTGTGTTTTTTAAGGGCAGGACAGCTGTCAGCAACACATCCAATATCATCACACTGATTGGAGTCAAGGTTGGCTCACTCCTGGCTCCAATTAGCTCTGGGAGAAGTCATTAAGCTAGGGCCTCACATACTTTTTCCTCTCTGCACTGTGAATGTTTACATGTTATGTGCAATTAAACCATGGCAGCATCTAATGTTTGTGTAGTATTATGTTCAGCAGACTGTTTCTTCTATTGTTGTGACTTAGATGACGTTCAGAGCACATTTTATGCCCAATTCATGCAAAACTCCACGTAATCCCAAGGGGTTCACATACTTTTTCTTGCAACTGTAGTAAAATGTATTGTGCATAGATTTTTAGCATTACATATGTCAGTCTATTTGTTTACCAGGTAGCTTGGTGTATTAACACGCACTGTCACTGTCCATCTCCTTGCTATAATCAACGCCTACCTCCGCCTTCTTTCCTGCGCTGTCCAGCCCCCTTCTCCTATTTAAGTTTGCTCACCAATGCAAGGCTTATGCAGGCCATACATGGGTCGAATTCTGAACGATTTTTCTGCCCGAAAATCTAAAACGTTTCGCTCAGTAATCCGATGGTGCCATCAATGATTTTGAAAATCGGCCGACCAGGTCATAAAGTTCACCCCATATAACAGGCAAAGCTTCTGTTCCTTCCAGGTCACGGCTCATACGCATATTCTTTTCGGAAAACCGATCGCACAATTTGACCATCATTGAGTTGAAAATCGGTTGTTTTTCATGAATTTTCCAACATATCGGATCACCAAAAAAAGGGGAGGAACCACAAAAATTGGCCGGTGCCATTGACAGAGCGAAAATCGGCCGATTATTCTTAGGTCTGATTTTCGGATGAAAAATTGGTCGAATTTTGACCCATGTATGGCCGGTCTTGATGAAGGAGCCATTCACGCATGCTCCGAAACTCATCACTGCCCCTTTTCTGACATCATTCCGTCATGCACGCTGGGTCCTGACGCTATGGTGGCCATCTTGGCCTGCACTTCCACTTCCCCCTGCAGTTGCTTGTCGGCAAGAGAGAGGAGAAATAGCAACAGATGCCATGAAAGGAAAGACAATTGATGAGCCTATTAAACTTCACTATCTTGTGAGTGTTAAATTGCTGTATATTACTGTGCCTTCTTACTTTCTTCTTCACCAGAGCCTGCTTCTACTCTCAGAAGTGCTGCCTTAGTACTTTTTCTTCAGCTCACAGTACAGCAATCACCATTCTCAACAGAAGGAGGTTCCTCCACACAGATGTGCCCTATGAGTGCGTATATGTATTCGGTAACCTGTTTGTAATTATACAAC